TCAAGGCACTTAGCTGAGTAGTGTAGAAAAAGGAGCCCTACATTATTTATACCCTTTAATGGTGCCGCAATCCTCCACGTGTGAATCAGCAACAGCACAATGCGCTGAAATAACCACAGCTGTAATCAAAGCCATACACACTGCGCCTCTCTTCTCCTTCACTAACTGCTGGGTCAGTGGGAGTCATCTTTGCATTGAGCACATTCTTTATGGGAGATTATCCCTTTTAATAGAGATTAAGGAGTGCAAGGTGCGGTCTTTTTTCCTCCTTCTGCCCAGATAAGATCTTTATGTGTAAGCTACTGAGAGTAAATACTGGTACCGTAGGGATGGCACCGAGCATGTGCAAGCTTTAACACTGTAAATACAGCACTAATGAAGGACATCAGGCACTGTTTTTCCAACAGTGTTATCCATCTGTACTCATTGGATCACTGTTCTCTATTTGGAAAGTTTCTAAAGAGAAAAGGAAAAGAAAACTTAGCGCCATTAGCTGCTTATGACATAAGGGAACAACTATAAACAAACTTGATTTTGAATTTAGACCACACTAAAAGTGACCCTAGTTGGTAGGTTTTGATGTGTTTCACAACTTAAGTCTTCCTCACAACATCTCTTGCGGCATCCTTGTCAAACCCTTGGTGAGATCATTTGAGCACATACGATCAGTATAACAAATTCTTTAAAAATATAAAACAAGGAATCTATTGGTAGATTTCTCTGTTGTTAGACCATGAAAAACACTGCTTGTATTATTTATAGCATTTCAGAATGCACAGCAAAACAAAAGATAGAGGTTTTTGTACAAAAAATAAAAAAATATTAATTGCAGATGTAGAAATGTGTAATGCCGTTATATGACATATTATATGACATATGACACGAAGATATTTTGTCCTTATGAAGAGTCTGTTCAGCTATTATAGGGAAAGAGTTGGCAACAAGCAATCAACTTCTTTAAGGAAAACAAGTTCATGTGTAGCGAATGGACTTAAAAATGAGTAAGAAATTGTACTAGTGAGGTGCAACTGGAATTAAAATAGTATTTAAAAATTCCCACATTTCAACATTTTATACGATAATATAAAAAGTTATTCTAAGTTATTATTCTAAGTTATGCTAGTCCTGTATAATTAGGACACTGGGAAGCTGTAAATAAAAATAATACTATATGCGATTAACTTCATTTCCCAGAGCTTATTTATCATTTATATTGAATTTTTTAATACATAATGCTAAACGATTATTGTTCACATATCTGTACTATTAAAACAAAATTATAAAAATTTGAAATGTGTTGGTAGGGGCTGACCTTGCAAGTGGTCAGCTAGAGTGTATTGCAGAGCACTTCAGTGTGCTGTGAGGAGTACAGAAAGCATATCACTCTGCCTAACTCTCTACAAAGTCTCTATAGTTAGCTGGTAGGCTATAAGATAATGTAGAAGAGAGTGGCCTGGATCTTTAAATGAGGATGCGGTTAATTGTGTTCTTCAAGACCAGAGATCATAGCAGGATGTGATAGAACTAATTCAAACCTTTGAAACTCACCTCTGTTGTCAGAAGGAGTTCAGTAATACTGTGAAAAGAGTGAAAGATTAGTCAGCAGCCTTAGCAGCCAGAAATCCCCAAGTGGAGGGACGTTAGACTGCAGTGGTTCAAGGGGCATTTTATCTTACAAACTGGCTGCATCTTACAAGAAGTACTCTTCAGAGCTCTCCCAGCAGAAATAAGAGCAAAGCCTAGAAAGCGTCCTAAGAATACAGAGAAATATAACTTTGGGGTCAGAAGTGAAATATGGGGCGGGACGAATAGTGCAGTGAACAGACACACTAAGAGTGGCTAGCAGAGGCTAGACCGAGGCACAGGTCCTTCACTAGCCTATGACAGATTGGTTTTCTTACAGGCCTTACAATTTATAAAGACCAAGTGATGACAGTTTAGTGATTTAAAGATGGCATCACCCATGGGTGGGTAACTGTGCCCTCTTATGATAAAATGCTTCGTATAAGCCTATGAAGTAATTTGAGTCTTCATCTCAGGTGAGTCTACTTTATAAAAGAAATTTAAAGACAATGACAAATCACTTGTACACATAGCATTTCCTTCTTTTGCTCATAAACTATGCGTATTATTCATTTAAGCCAGACAAAGTAATTATTCATTAAGTCTACATTATACTCAGACATTTAAAAAACACTAGAAAGTTTGCCTAGCCTGCTAGTTAACTGATTCATTAATTGACGCTAGCTGAAGTGAGGTGCATTCCTAGTGAAAAAAAGCTCCTCAGGATCTCATCTTTCCCTTGTCCTTAGCCAGTTGGCTGAGGCATACTAAAAACAATATTGAAACAAAGAACCAATGTTCTGATTTTGGTTTTCAGTCTTTGCAAATATGAGATATCATTTAGCCTTTTAAATCCTTAAAATTTTGAATTAGTACAAAAGTGTTACAATGCAGCTACACCTTAAGGAACATTTTCTGTAGTCGTTTGATGAATTGAATTTTACATCTAGGTTTATATATATCAAGTCTAGACCTGCATCTCCTTTTAGTTCCCATGAACGGTAGAATCCCATTATAAATCCCACACCACAGTGAAGACATATAGCATCTGCAAGGCATAAAAATAACACTGTTTCCATTCCATTTAACTCAGTGGAGATGCGCTGGAGCAATATCCCACAAAACAAATATGATGTGGCCCTCTCTGATCATCACTTGATAGTGTGGTGACAAGCAAACTCTATTAAGCTGTCTTCAAATATGCAAAATGATATGATTTCACAATGATTACATATTCACTTCCCAGCTGGCTGGCTCCATGCAACTCCATTTGTCATTGACTATTGTGTCCAATTATATGATTAGCTTTGAACACTCCGGCACTTGGAGAGCTCTCGTGTGTTCCAGTGCACTGACTGATTCACAAACAAAGTCATTACAACATGTATTCACACATATCAAATAACAAACAGATGGCCATTGTGCGCGCCGGCTGATTGGTTTGCAGCGCGAGCTGCCGAAAAAGGGAGCTTTTTGCAGGGCTTTGTTTAGCGCTGACTGTTTTATTCCCAGAGAGGAGCATCTGGCTGCCGAGGCGGCTAAATCAGCTCAAATGAAAGACAATCTTGTTTTCATTAATTTTTCTATGACAAAAGCACTTGTTATGAAGATTCGAAATTACCAAGAAAGCTTCCCGATAATTCATCATGCGGGCTGGACCGAAGCCCATGATTGCTCGAGGTGTCCGTCTGCATCAGGGAGTGTTTACTTTCTTTGGAAGTGTGTCAGGTGGCTTGACTGCAGACTGGAGTGCGTTCTGAGAAGTTTGCAAGTCTGTCGTGAAATTAGCAGTGATGCTGCCAATGCAAGTCTGGTTTTACGCACATTATGGGGACAAAAATTAATTTATAAAATGTAAAACAATTCTTGGACCTGGCTTGGAACTGTTGTAAAAGAACTGAAAAGTAGCTGAAGAACTAAAGTAAAAGTACCTGAAGTGAAAGTAACTGAAGTAAAAGTAACTGGAGAACTGAAGTAAGAGACCTAAAACATACTACTTATGCTGGTAAATGCAAATAGGGTGTTTTTATCTGATTACATTTTTTATGCATAAACACTGATGCAGCTTTGCTTACTCTGCTAGCTTTCTAGTTATTTATCTAGTTAGAAAGCTAAGAACTACACAGGCACCAACAATCAAAATAAAGGGCACTTCACTGTGGTTCTAAACAGAAACAAATGAGACTATAGCTGAGAGGCCAGCAGTGATTGTTGATTTAGGGTAAGTCGAGTGCAACCTTTGGTGGTCAGACAAAGCAGTTATGTTAGATGGCGTTTATAAAATGCAACTCACGTCATCATATCTCCATGATGCTCATCGTAACATCATGATCTAATGTTACACCCTTTAATGGGAAATGTCAACCACAGACAACAAAAGCCATTGGGGTACCGTAAAATGCACTCAATAACACTGTGTCTGTCTTTTCATTAGTGCACTGTATCCATCCAGACATTACGGACATCTTCTCTACCTTGTGTTGAGGCATATTAGGCAAATGTACCAACAGAGCTGTTAGGTGAACTCCACATAGAGCTAAGTGTCATCTGTTCCTCCTTAATTTGCCCTCATTTTGTAGAGCAACCTACACACAAAGAGCCTTTAGTGCGTGGTACTACAAGCCTTCAGCGCGTCATGCTACAAGCCTTTTTTCCATCTGCGGTTTCAGTGGTGGACACGTCACATAAACCACTCCTGGGCCTACCAGACCCTTTATGCAACACTTTCACATGTGTGAAATGCTTTAGTATATCAGGCCCCATGAGAAGGCTGTGTACCATCAGTGTTGAATGTGACAGAAACATTCAATATGGATGTTTAAAAAACTTAACAGACCTTGGGTTGCAGTTCCCAGCGGTGGTCATAGCTGCTCTTAGCTCTGTTGGAGACTGATATGTACGGAAGGCAAAAACAGCCTTTCAACACCGGAAACACTTACAAAGTGTTGAGTGCTGCAGACCTCCTCTATCCACCGTTATTTGGCATATTCAGATTTATTGCTCTAATATTGTCAAGATCACTTTAGAATCAAACAAACATAGAAAGTCCAAATCACTTCCTATATACAAACTCTTAATTTCAAAAACCTGAGGAGGTCTACATTAATTAGAGTTAAGGTTAGAAAACACCTTCTCATTTCTCCTAGGCCGATAATCTTGGATAGTTCCTGTTGTTTTATCACTCGTCTTCTCTCCGCATGGCCTTTAATGCTGTTCCTTTGATGCCTATCTGGCTCCTTATGGTGGAAGTATACAATATTCCCTCTCATCTCTGCTTAACCTGCTTTTAGAAGCAGTTAGAAGTAGTTCAGGGGAATTTTCCACTGGCTCTGAATGTGTGTATTTCCTCTGTGCTGACAAAGATTAATGCGCTGCTTAATTAGCTATAGGTCTGGTGACAGTTCTCTGCTAAAATATGAAGCAACTTGGAGTCTGTATCTGTATTTGAAGCAAATTAAATATCATACATGCATGTACTGTGATTAGTTTTCCAAAGTGTTCATTTTTTTATGACAGTAAACAGTTATACAGACTGTCATGCATACAGTATGTTTATATAGTAACAGTGGCATTCAGAGGCACGAAGAAAATAAAAACAATCAGTGAAAATAAGATACTGTACATGCAGCGAAAATAGGTTAGATGGAAAATGTCACAAGCCCAAACCATAAATGCATACAGTGGCACCACACCACTTTTTTCACACCTTACAATGACCCTGAAGGCTGAGGTCTTGCTATGTTCTGCTTTCTTGGGTCTGCTGTCACATGACTCCACCTGCTGGTCAAAATGGATTACAGCAATACTCTGAAAAGTACAGTGGCAGCTCTGTACAATGGTGCCACCACCTGGCAGATTAAAGAATATATTAGCCTATTGAAACAAAAGAAAACACATACTGATATAAATGAAATGCCATGCTATAGATTCTATTCATTATGCAGTTCTTTGTGGAATGTTCTTGTTCTTACTAATGTCTTAAAGCATAGATCAATTTTTGGTCTAGATAAAATGAGGACTTCAGTAGGGCCTTAAAAATTCGGTAAACATCCTTGAGGCAGCAAAAGCACTGTTCTGTTTGAATATATTCTCTATGGGACTTCACAGTACACATAAATACAGTACTAACGAAGGCTATAAAGTGCTTATAATTTCATATTACATTTTTTCAGTCTGTGCAAAGCTTTTTAAATGTAGACAAGTTCATTTTTGGAAAAAGGCTAGGATTTCCATTAGTTTCAGGGAGTTTGATTTTCATTCTTGGTACAAAAAAGACTGAAATAGAGATTTAAGTGTGCTCATTGGAGCTATCATTATTGCTTATATAGTAAGTATGTTATGTGTACTGATTTTAACCCTCAGATCATACAAATCATGCATCTCCCTGACATGATTTAATACTGACATCCTGAATTATATGAATACACAATGTAAGTAAATTTCAAATATTACACATATTTGTGAGTACATTAGATGCCTCCCTAAAATATTCTGGAGTGCTGCAGATATTGCCTTTTGATTGCTTTCTATGAGAAGTAGTTAATGATTAGCTTGGTTCACATTTGCATCCCATAAAAAGGGAACATCATTTGCGCATTTGGATATTTCTTGTTACAGTTTGATAAATTAAGCTCTTGCTGAGCCCAGAGAAAAAAAATCATAGTAGAAGTTTCTGTTTTTTTATACAGTAATGTCTTCTCGTTGGCTATAATATAATGCCAGTGCGGCTGGGAGGATCAGTTCCTTGAATCCAGGCATTCGGGAATCATGAGTCAACTCCAAAGCTTTGGACTCGCACAGTGACGTCCAACATGCGTGCCCCCGGATGCTCACAGAGTGTGAGATATTGAGATATTCTTATGTTATTGTCTAGACTCACTCATAGCTCACAGATAGTCCACTAGAATTTTACTTTAGACAAAGTCAAATTTAAATGCAACTTTGGCTTACAATCAGACAATGTTGCCAGTGCCAAAACATTTATCCACATCTATCTGAGAGAGTTATTAGAGGAGAATCAGCTACAACTTAGTCAGCCCCTGTCAGTCAAGTTAATTTAGTTAACGGAATTGACTCTTGGAATTGATTCCATCGATTTCAAGCACTTGGAATCCAAATGAGAGCCAACTCAAAAATTTCTGAAAAAACACTGGTGATCTCAAAATCTCAAATGCTTTAGCTATAGTTAGGATTTCTTCTTTCCTCTTTCTGAACACTCCTTTTAAAATATTTTCATCAACTGAACTATATGCATAGCTCATTAGAAGATGGTGACTCCTAGTGGCACTGTTCCTCAGATCATTGCACTGGTGAGATTACTGAGGGAGCGAACGCTGCCCGTGTGCCGGCTCTTCCTGCGGACACTTCTTAGGTAGTTCCTGTAGAGGATCACGCTGATCACTCGGTCCTGGAACTGCTTGGACACAATGTAATAAAGTATGATGTCCAGCACTGTGCTCATGTTCATTAGGAACGTGGTGAAGGCACCCCAGGTGCTGTAGCCCTGGCTGCTGTTTTCCAAAAGCAGGAACACAAAGCAGATATGGAAGGGCACAAAGCACACGAGCACCTGGGCGATTAGCGTGATGATGATGCGGATGGACTTCTGCTTTACTTTCGGCTTCAGCTTGGACGTCCGGCCATGGATGAGGTTGTCTACGATGACGATGTAGCAGCCCACCATGATAAACATTGGCACCAAGAAGAAGAAAGCCAGACGAGTGAAGTGGACAGCGTTGTCCTGCCGCAGGTAGACAATGTCATGCATCTTCAGGCAGGTGGTGTGGTTGGAAAGCCGGTCTCGTTCTTCCTCAAGAAAGAGCAGTGGGGCTGTGCCGCCGAGGGTCATGACCCACACGCCTGCGCACGACAGCATGGCCTTGTGCACGTTCTTCAACTCCTTGCTGTGTCGCGGCTGCACTATAGCTACATAGCGGTCAGCACTAACGAGGGCGAACAGCCAGAGAGCCAGACATGGGTAGAGAACAGTCAGAGCAGCATTGATCTTGCAGAACATGTCTCCAAATGGCCAGTAATCCATGCTATAGTAGGCCATGCGGAAGGGTAGCAGTAGAATGAAGATAAGGTCCACCACAGCTACATTGATCATGTAGATAGTGACAGAGCTTCTTCTTTTTGTGGTAAGGGCAAAGACCCAGAGGGCGGTAAAATTGACCACTAGACCCACACAAAATATGAAGCCGTAGAACACCAGGCTGGCTGTTCTGAACACTGGAGGGACAGCCGAAGAATTGTTATGTTCCATGATGAATTGCCTGATAAGAGGGAAGAGGACATACAAAGTTACTGTAAAATATCTGAAAGAATAAATGAAAGGAGACTGACTTATAAAACTGAATGTCATAAGGCTCTAACAAAGATGTTATGTTTTAACAAGGATGCTATGCTGTTATTGTTATGCTTTCTGACCTGCTAAGACTGTTTTTGGTTTGTACAATGAACCATTTTTCAAAATGTTGCATATTTTTTCTATTTTGCATTATTTATAGATGCTGTATAACATGTCGCCAGTGGCAGGTAGGGCAATAATTATTGACAACCTTTTATAAATACTGACACATTTCTACACCCATGCCTGACAGAAAGGTCCAGTTTCTCAACAGTGTACCTCACCAGGTGGCCCAAATCAACACTACATGCAGTTCTGGCATCTTTTTATCTCTTTCTTATTCATAATGGATCTCTTCCACAGTAAGTGCCATGCTATCCGGTAGGATCCTTCACAGCCTGCTACATGATAAATGTGTTTATAACTTGATTCAAAAAGATGAATCAAGATCAAAATGGTTCCATTCAAATTGTATATAAACATATGTATTTTATCAAAAATCAAAACATGTATATTGCTCAACCAGCTTTCTTGAACCTCTTCCACTGTAGAACCAAATGATTCTCAGGGTTGTTCTATGCCGTTCCACACCAGTGCAGACTTGTGTGACCAATTAGAATTTCTTTTTCTATCTGCTGTGGTGCTAGATTAGAAAATGGAAATACGTAGCTCAGCAACTCTGACAGACTAGTAGCTACAGAATACATTTGATTCTGGCTGTCACTCCAACACCAGTCACTGAACCTTGTGATCTCGGAATCTTTGTCCTCTAAAAAGGTGTTATTTACGCTCAGATTTACATCATTATCATCTAAACTTGCATCAGTGTAGATTCTATTAGCCAGAATTGAACCTATTCTGTGGTGAGCTAGCTAAGCTAATAATAACCAGCTCCTCTCTACAAGCACTGCTTTCATTTATTTTGTAACCATGTAAGCAAACAGAAGTAATTGTTTGTTTTCGGTTTTGCAAAAAACGCAAGTTGCAGTGGCACAATACCAAGGTAAAAGTAGAACCAATGAGTGAATAGCTACGTCCTTACATTATCCCACTGAACAGTTCTGTGGCCCTGAGTATGACTAGCTAACTGTGTCAAGGGCTGCATCAAAACTACATACTACCATGCTACGCATACGGCATTGCTGAATGCACTTTCAGCAGTGGTGTACTATTTTAATATACTATTTAGTATGGTAATATGGAGTTATGGATGCAGCCAAGCAAACTGTGCTGTGTTTGTAAGCATTCTGTATCAAATCGTGTCTGTGTGGAAATGCCACTGGAACAGTTACTCTCTGTACTCAGAACTATTTGGCCCTGCAGTGGAAAGGAGGTCTATGTAACCTTGTTATTTGGCCAGTGGCGTGTCAAACAGCTAAATATGACATATAATTGTTGCAGTCCGAATAGGTAGCCTCATGTAGCACTAACATTAGATGGTAGTGGGTGAAACAATTGTGATTACAATTTATATTGCCAATTTTTTATTAACTGAAAATATTTTTCGTATGTGTTTGTTCTGCGCTGGGACCCCACAGATCCTAGTTATGCCATGACGTGTCATGCTCATTATATGTTCATACCACCCTGAAGTCCCCTGGCCACCCACACGGAGATATTATAACTCAAGTGTAGACGAGTGGAAAACCTACTACTTGTTTAGAAATATGAAATAACGTGTAAAATAGAAACACTAAGCCATATTGAAAGTCAGCTCTCAGACAGAACAGATGCAGAACTTGGAGAGACAAAAAGGGAAGAGTACTGCTTGAAATGCTGAAGTGAAATTCTGTCTCATGTTTTAGCTTCAGCTGTCTTACAGGAAAGTGTGCGACCACTTATTGTAAGTTCTGACACCCCCTCTCCACTGCTCAGACAAGCTTTAGCTTAACAAATTTCACAAGTTTTTTCTAGTTTTAGTCAACATTATGCCTAGATATTGCCAACATGACAACATCTACGTTCTGTAGTTACCCAGAATATTGATCATCTATACAGCTTCTGACAAAAACAAATAGGGATATGCCTTCTTCTGAATTGTATCTGAGCTAAACCAAGTTATGTCTGTAATGCCGAAGAAAGTTCATCTCTGTATTGCGTATTGTATAAAAATCAAAGACATACATACCTCAGTGATCTACATGCTCTTGTGTTGGTACAGCAACTGCTTCTGGCACATACGGAAGGCTTGTGATGTGGCAGAGAGTCATGTCAGCTCAAGCGTTGCTCAGCTAGTGTAGAGGAAGTCATGTAGCTAATGTCTTAATTTAAATGACGTGCTTTTTTCTTTCTCTTTTGGTTAGTGAGACTTCCTGTGTGGCTTCTGCTGGTGGAACAAACGTCTTTATACCATTGTGTGTTTATGTGGCTCTTTTTTTTACTAATGTCAGTTCTGCAGCAGTGCTACAACAGTGACAGGTTTAGGTGCTGGTTATTGATTGGAAAAATAGGGTTTGTCACACAACATTAGCTCTCCTGGGACTAGCACGCAGTGGGTGGTGACTGAAGGCATCTGGTGTTGAGGAGTTTTAATTAGCCACAGGATGCTGAAGCAGGTAGCGTATAAACAGGAAATCAGAGATCTCTCTAATACATCTGAGAATAGCCCTGCCAACAAGAGGCATCTCAAAAAGCTCAGCTGTACATGACGACATGTCTGGAATTGGCACAAGCAGAGACAAAGTGAAACCGAGGTTCAGAAAACCACTGAGGGCTGAAGGCGTACAAAGTAAAAGGCCAGAAAGGGTAGTTCTATGACTTTAAATCTGTCAAAAGTAGAATGACACATGAAACAGAATTAAATGTCATGAGGCCCTAACAATGTTATGCTGTCTTTCTAAAACAGTTGTTTTGGTTAATACAATACAATAGAATACAACACAATACAATACAAGTTGTTGTTGGTTAAACACATTTTTAAGTACTTGAAATAACTAAGTGAGAAACAATAAACATAGCACGGTACCACCTTTTCTTTTCTGACACCTGTTCCAATATCGACAGCGTGAGTATTGGCGGATACCTGATATTTTACATTTTTTACAAACTACAACTGTTTAAAGGAGACATTTATTTAAATTTATGCTACTCATATGTATGTTACTTGTCACTGTATCTACCAGCCCAGAAATTGTTCAAATGTAAAGTCTTTGCTGTTTTGGTGTGTCTCTCTTCCAAAAGGCATGTGATTCTACAGGCTGTTAGGATTTGCTGTTTGATTCTCTGTCATGCTTGCTACTTGAACTAACACACAGTCAGCTTTCACTGTTGCCTCTGCCATTTTACATACACATATTTATAATGGACAGGACAGTATGTATGTGCATGATTGTGTGAGTGTACACATATATATGTATATACATATTTATGCACACACACATATCACATATACTATATGGACAAAAGTATTGGGACACCCCTTCTAATTATTGAGTTCAGGTGTTTCAGCCACACCCAAAGCACGTCGCCACTGGACTCTGGAGCAGTGGAAATGTATTTTGTGGAGTGATGAATCACGCTTCTTTAACTGGCAGTCTGATGGATCAGTCTGGATTTGGCGAATGCTAGGAAAATGTTACCTGCCTGACTGCACTGTGCCAACTATAAAGTTTGGTGGAGGAGGGATAATGCTATGAGGTTGTTTTTTAGGGGTTGACCTAGGCCCCTTAGTTCCAGTGAAGGGAAATATTAATGCTTCAGCAAACCGAGACATTTTGGACAATTGTGTGCTTCTAACTTTGTGGGAACAGTTTGGGGAAGAACCTTTTCTGTTCCTGACTGTGCCACAGTGCACAAAGCAAGGTCCATAAAGGCATGGCTGGGCGAGTTTGGTGTGGAGAACTTGACTGACCTGCACAGAGCCCTGACCTCAACCCCATCAAACATCTTTGGGATGAAGTAGAACAGAGATTGTGAACCAGGCCCTCTCGTCCAACATCAGTGTCTGGCCTCACAAATGCTCTTCTGGATGAATGGGCGAAAATTCCCACAAAATCTAGAAAGCTTCCCAGAAGAGTGGAAGCTGTTGTAGCTGCAAAGGGGGGACCAAGTCCATATTAATGCCTGTGGATTTAGAATGAGATGTCATAAAAGCTTCTGTAGGTGTAAAGTGTAGGTGTCCCAATATTATCATATATATAATTTTATAATTACTGTATAAAAGTGTATAAAAAACATATATATGGCTGTATATATGTATATATATATATATATATATATATATATATATATATATATGTTTCTATACACTTTTATACAGTATGTGTATGTGTATACGTGTGTGTGTGTGTGTGTGTAAAATGCCTGCTGCCCTTTATATGGGCCTAAAATTACTTCTGGTTCCATTGACTTACATTAAAAGTAAAGTATGTTTTTCCCTTCTCCTGTCCTGTAAAGAGACAGGGAGTTGAAACCCATTAATGACTTTTAACTGATTGGACTTTTGACTAAAATCCTTTTGAGTGATTCTAACATCTTAAATTATATTTGATTTATTAAAACAAATGATGAACATTCCATTTTGTCACTAACAAGCAATTGTAATACTACTGAAACTGTTTTGGTAGTGACAATTTTAGCTAATTCTGAGCATAACTCAAAAGTACTAGCAGTACATGACAAGCAAATACAGCTTTGAACACATTTGTAATATTTTTCATTAAAACACTTAATTCTGAAGAACATATTTGGTAGAAACAGTCTGAATTATACATGTTGACTTTCAGACTTTGGGACACATTTGCTTCAAAACAATTGGATCTGACTGCTCACCATGGCCATGAGGGACAGGGTGCAGTCTCTTTCTGTCTGTGTTTTTGGCTTTACTTAGTAATGCACCTTTAGTTGAAGCGCTTCACTTAAGATGAGCATCTAAAAGTAGTCTCTCATGCTCAAACTATTCAAACACTCTTCTACCTCACAGGAGGAAATACACAGCTTACAGCATCACACAATGTGAGTTTCGGTTTATATTTATTACAGGAAGCTTTATATGTATATGTGTATTTATTTATTTATTCTCTCCAACATCCGATCAAGCATTTTCTGCTGATACTGGCCTGAGACCAGTAGCTGGTGTCATATCAGTGCCATCCCTAGGAAGAAAAAAACTGTAGATTATAACTTACACTACTATAAATAACATACTGACCCTAAAAACTGTGTTTCAATTTAAATGTAAACATATGGGTCAGCGTCAGAATACAAATCCACGAAGTTGTTTGGGTGAATACAGGGTTTTTGTGCATAAAATAGCTGTTTAAAATAAATAAATAAGTTCACCTTATATCACAGATATGCACAGCATTTCAGGAGTGATTGTGCATCTTTTGATGCTCCTCTCTATACTTCACTTACAGCTGCAGTTGCCCAAACTGTTGCTCAGCTGTAAAAATCAATACTTTGTATTGGATATGGAAACATTTAAGATCCAATATCTTGGTCAATAGGTAACAGCACATCAAAACTGCTTATGAGTGCATACTAGCATGAAATGAAATGGTCCCACAGAACACTTATTCACAGCTCTCATGCGTTACTTTTTTTGGCCTCTTGAATGTGGAAGTAACACTGATATTTATTTATGTGTTCTAGTTTTGAAACACTGTGCTGCGTCAGAGACACACTATAGGCAAATAACTCTGTCATTTAAGATTTTGCTCTTCAGTAGTTGTAGCTGAAAAGCCTACTTAATTTGTAACTAGGAATACAGAAATACACATATGTTCACACACTACTGTTCAAAGATTTGGAATCTGCAGTAATACACAACCATTTTTTGGTGATACATGTATAAAGTGAATGGAACATGCCAGACACGCAGGTTTCAAATAATGAGTAGAAACCTGTAAAAGAAGAAATATTAGATGCTTCCACAATGAGACAGAGCTATAGATGATTCTAAAATGACTGAGAGCTATATATATGTTTATTTATATATTGGCAACAAAGTTCTATTAAATTATTATCCAGATCAAACCTCAAAGCAGACAACTTGACAAAAATGCTTGTAAAAAGATATTTACACAATTAGTAACTTCCTAAAATATAAAAAAAAACACCATATACTTCTTGATCTCTTGTTATTGATATCCTAAATCTATATTGTATTATAGATTCAGAGTTATTATTATTGTATATAAAATACTGAATAATATTACAACAAGTGATTCCAGACTTTTAAATAATAGAGCATATAAACAAATAATCCACAAGACACTGTTAAAAGTAAAGTTGCTAGAAAGGGTTCTTTGGGATGATGCCATAAAAGAAAAAAAAAAAGTTTTGACTTGAAAGGAATTCAGTTAAAACTAGAATGTTCAGTTTGACCCCTTAACATGCTGCTTGTCATTGTCTCCATGACTGTAACTCCATGGTGGGTTAAGTCACTCAAAACACAACAGTGCAGAAAAACCTGTGTAACACCCACGCTTTCTCAGTTTGACTCCCTCCACCCATCCTACCACAACACGAAATATCCACTTTACGCTACAAGGTGAATGTCATTCATGCTGTACTTTGCTTTCATTCATGTGGATTTACAGGATGTTGATGTCACTAATATTAATGGCCAGATTTTATATGTGCCACACTTTTAATTGTGATATTAGATCTGTTTCATAGAGCTTAATTAAACCCCTAGAATTGTTTAATGTGTGCGTACCATGGAAAACTGAAATTTTCTCGCGTTTTTGAAAGAAACAAGTTTGTAGTAGTATGTAAACATGACATACTACCACGAACTCTAGCTCTGCCCGCATCTAGGTTTTTAGCATTCAGTGTTTTGTGTTTAATGTTGTTCTGGTATTGGTATTAGATTACTTTTACTTTTTCATTGTTTTTTCAGATTTTATGGATATCACCTCTATTCTAGTTTCTGCCTCTCCAATTTAACTCTTTCAGCACGGACTTTGTTAAACACAACTCACATCTGCATCCTGCGACCTCACCTGCCTCATTACAGAATTTAGCACCTCAGTCATATCTTATTATCTAGTAGCTGTTGTGACAAAACCTTGTGTCTCCCAGAAATAGTACTTTTACAAGAAAAGGAAAAACAAAATTGTTACTTTTCATGTTTTAAATTGCTTTTTAGAAAAAAAATACAACAGTTTAGTCCAAGTATATTTGGACCATTTCTGTTGGTCCATTACTCATGAAATGTTTGGACAATTCAACTAATTCAACTAGCTGCTGGTGTTTAAAAAAGAAGTTTAAAAAAGTTTCAAAGTTTTGGCATGGCAGCAATATTCTGAAT